ACAAAAGTTTACGCTTGTTAGCCTTCTTACAAAACACTCTGAGGTCAGCGGCGGATCGAATTAACAAGTCTAATTTTCGTGGCAGGTGTGGGACGGTCAATTATCACACCCTTTTAAATTTATACTAATAAAAGGCTTTCCGGGGTGACAAATGACCGCCCACACCTTCCCTTGTCTCATGGTGTAGGATTCTAGGGGGATAGGGTTGTCATGAGTTTCAACATCAAGAAGCGCAACTTTCTTCTGGCCAGTGTATATTGACATCCAGAAGCTGGTTTCAAGTTATATGAAATCCATGACATTCAAGTTATATGATGCTTCAAGTTATAGTATGTCATGGAATGCCCTTACTTCTGGAGACCTCACACCGGACCTGACCTCCTGCGTCAACAGCCACGCACCGAAGACGCGAAGACGCCTTCACAGTCCTCCTCCGTCTCCTCTTCGGTGCCCTGTTTCAGGACGGGTCGGTGGGTCCCAAAGCATTCTTCATCACCCTCGACCCGATGGGTGAGCCAGGGATCATCAAGCTCTCAGCTTTTGGCAAGGGATCATCACAAATGCATATATTCCATTATATTCCTAGGCCTATAGGTATTTCCCAGGAGCGAATGCAAGCTGAATGGGGTGAATACCCCCCACACTATATCCAAGATCAACGCGGTTGGTCCTTGTCAAATGAAATATCTCCGGGGGATTGAAACCGGCGCAGGGCGACCTGCAGTGCGTGGCGACCTTAAAGGGATCACAAACCGGTTCCTCGGTATTGAACCCTTCACGACGGAAAAATGGATGCGGCCCGACGATGGTCGACCGGCTCCGGAGCCGTCTAGGTTGTCTGGTTGGAAAGTGCGCTGGCTCCATTTAAGATCCATTTGGCCTTATCTATAGTTGCTTCGTTCGCTTCATTTTGTATTAGTTTGTAATACTTTGTGCCGATGCATGAACCATGTCCCTTCAAGCTCTGATTCCATCTTAAATTTTAACAAACCCACCGATTGAACCATATTGAACCCCATGCAAGAACTGCGAGAACAAACATGGAGCTGGCACATCCCCGCAATGAACAAAGCTGACTGAGCGGGACTTATCGCAGTCTTGGGTTTTGAATGGCTTTGACTTCTAGGTCAATAGCATTCAATAGCATTCAATAGCCCCATACCGACTGGCACCATGGTTCTGAGCACTAGTATTGTACAACTTCTCCCCTGACCTGCAACGCTGCGACTGACAGGTGGCACCTGCATGTGCAAGACATCCGTCAGGAGCCACATAAGGCCCAATGCTAAGAGCATTCCCAGGTACCTGAGCTTGCAATGGCACATTGAAACAAACACACACAGAAACCAATCAGGCCGCACCTGTGTAACTTATCGTGGAACATATATTGGCTTTTGAGTTCCAAACTTGTGTCTAAACGTCATGGATCTTCCCAATCCCAAGATACTATGCATGCAAGCCTACCATTCAAGAACCAAAAACGCATCGCCTCTTGCAGCAGTTCCAACGAAAAAAACAAAGACACGTTGCCCCAAGGGCGCGATCCTCCCAACCGAGTTCCATACACTTCATTTCCCCCAGGTCACGGGGGCAATCCACAGCCCATCTTCAGGCCCGGCACCTCAGCGCCGCAGAGCGCCGCGGGGGGCATGTGTCTTCGATCGTCACACGCGCCGGCCGCCGGGTGGCTCGGAAACGGCCACGAAACCGAACTCGCACGGAACTCGCTGGGCTGCGAGTGGATCTTCTCACCTGCAACCCAAACATCAGGGGACTCAGGGGACCTGGTGATGCACCGGAGCAGCGATTTGGCTTGACTCCACTGGTGAGGCGGTTTCAACATATCTTGAACGGTATAGTCATTTGTTTAGTGAGTTCAATCCTCCCAAGTAGAGTGTAAAGGTCGAACATAAGAATCTCTGAGTCTGAAACCACCACCCTTGACTCGAGCACTGGCATGATCTGGGGCCCCCCTGGCCATGAGGATACAAAAAACCCCCAAGATCAGCGCGACCACCTGGCGAGTTGTCGCTGGGATTTGCTGATGCCATGAAAGGGTGGGCGGCACATGGAAGGATGATGCCTGAGGGACATCAAAGGACCTAAGGGTCGTTGAACACATGGACTCCAACAAGTATGGCGACCCTACCAAACTCGATACCGGAATCGGAAGGATTTCCAGTAGGGGTGACTCTTCGAGAGAGGATATACGGCGGTGCTTGGGAGGCCTGAGAGTTGCTTTACGTGAACGCCAAGAGCCCAACCTGTAGGGTTCATTCTTAATTCCAAACAGAGATTTCTCTACATGAAGAACAACATGGATTGAAAATGCTTGAACGCATTTGAGAACAACCTTGATCTCTGGGTCTTGTAGGGTGCACAAAAAGCAACACTCAAAAAGGACGTTGTCTTCCTCAACGGGCAGTGCCTCTTTGGGACTCAGATGAGCCCTGAGCACTTACCAAACACTCGTTGCGTGCCATCCGAGTTGTGCAAGTCACCCTGCTCTGAGCCCAAGGTCATCCTCCGCATATCTCTGTCTGAAATGGTGGCACGGGTTTGGTGAACAGCACAACATTGCACTTAGCACAACAGCTTGTAAATGGACCTTCACCCACTTCACCCCCCATTTCGAACAGGAGCCTCTCTTCAGACCGCCGTTTCGACCACAACTTTCTGCGGACATCAGTCGCCTTCTTCCGCGTGATGGGCTCTCGCTCCTCTTCATCGATGTCATCTTTCAAGGGCTCCTGAGGCACGAGCCAACTCCAGTGGCGAAGAAGACGCTTCTCATGGTTGAACTCTCTCTCTCTCTCTCTCTCTGGTCTCCAGAAGTATGAACAACTCTAACTCCGAAGACCTGAAGATTGTTCACCATTTGTTCAATGATTTGTTCACCCTACAATTCTGAGTTCTTGATAGGCAACAACATGAAACAACTGTTCCATTTTACACCATTGTACAGTTACACATTGCTCATCGCAAATTTGGCCGGCAGCCTCAGCCAGTCATTCAGAAACAGAAGTCACCTCCCTGCGAGTAGCGCACCCATTGACCTTCCGCCCATAAGCCGCGCCTTCTCCCAGCCGGGTCCCTTCTTATCCTGACGGCTCGCTCCCATAGCGTCGTGCTGAGTTGGCTCAAGGCCGGCTGGGCGTGCGTCGGGATTCCACCAAACCACTTGGCACATAGGGATCCACACAAGAACCTAACTGTTTGGGGTTTGCGCCATCTAGTTAATTAGTCAATTAGTCCGAACTTCCTATCAAACACGCGCAGAATCCATGACGAATTGTTGTTGGGGATCGTTGCCTTCCGTGGGTGTTTGTTGAGTACTGCGGGAGCTGATCAGCCTGCCTAGTCTTGACCACAACAATTAGGAGTCCTTTCATGGCCGTCACCTAGCAACGAAGGGACTAGATCAGCTCGAGCAAGCAAGATACATAAAGGTTTTAGTTGCAGCCCTTCTGATATCTGATATCCCTGAGGCGACAAATGGCACCTGCAAATGACACATGTGAAGTCCAAAATCAAAACGATACCAATACGAAGGGTCCCATCGATAAGTGAGCCCTTGGCACCTGGGGGATTATCGATCATGAGGTATCATCAGGTCATGGCCAGGTCTGCTGCAGCTTTTTTGGTATTGAACCCTCAAATTAACATCCTTTCGGGATACATCAAACATCATTTAAAACAGTTGAGTTCCATCGGTCCTTCTCGCCCAACTTCCCCTGCTGGCTACCTACAGCCTACCCGCATCGCGTGGCCTTGGCCTTGTGCCTTTGGGACTCGGATTCCAAGTCCAGGCGTCTTGCAATGCACCTGACCGCAGAAGGCAAACCGGGCGCCACTGCGCCCCAAAAGCCCGTCTAGCACACGGGGAGTGGGGGGAAGTGGGGGGGGGGTTATGGTCAGAAGGGTCTCTCCCTTTCAACAAAGAAGGAGCGTTCCCTTTTCGGCCTCTGGGTTCTTTTGTTTTGTTTCCTCATTCTTGATTATAGCCATGTCTATGCACAATACTGTCAACTTAAGGTCCTCATGTCCCACTGTCAGCCTGGCTGACCGGTTTCCAGCCTCAAGAACCAAAGGGGCAACACGCCCGCAACCAAGGACCTGAACGCGCGAGAGGGGGGCAGCTGCTTGGCTTCTGCGATCTGTGATATGCAGCATGAACTGCAAGAGATTATAGGGTCTAAACCAGAGAGAAGGTCAGGGCATAACTACAACCGCTCGAAATCCAACTTTGCAATAAGGAACCCAAGAAAGGACTTCAGAACATCGGATTAACTTGGATCTTCTTCATGATCTGCGACTTGTTCATCGATTTTGTTCACCTTTTGCTGGCCCCACAGAACTGCGAGCGCCCAGCAAGGTCCCTCAAAAGGACACAACAAGTCCAAGAGTCCAAGTCCATTCAGTGTTGAGGCGCAAATCCGGTTTTCCTGCTGGAGGATGGAACAAAACTCGGCCCCTGGCGGTATGAAGAGCCAAAGCACCGTTTTCACCGCTGAGATGCGGTCCCTGGGAGGCGACTTTTGGGCGGCCACGATGCTGCTTTTGTATGCGAACGTGTGTCAGTTTCATGGGGTCGAGCTGTGGAGGGGTTGAGGCTGTTGAGGTGCGGGGGCAGGAGCCGAGGTCGGTCCAAGGTCGGACCTGTGCAAGAACTTTGGATTGTCCCTAGGCCCTAGGGCTCCTGGCCTACCTCCTGAGAAGATGGTTGGGGTGGGTTTTGGGGGTCTAACCACCTTCTGAGGATATGGTTGGAGCCCTAGGGTATATACCACTTTGATACTTTCAAGGCGGGAGAGGTTTTGGGATCACCTGCTTCATCTTCCGCTGGTTGAAGAAGATATCATCCTCATCCCCGCACACCGCACAAGATCACCTTCTCTCATTCTATGTTGCTAGGAATGAGAAGCCCTGACTCCCAAGACCTTTCGTTCGCCACTGGATCCTTCCCCGATCTTGTTGTTTCATCGACTGCCAAGGATGGCCACGGTTTGGTCTTGGTTCACCCCACTGATGGGTTGGGTGGAACGCCTAAGTAAGCAAGCAACTCGTTGTTCTTTCTTTTCATAAAGCATATGCACTCACAGACCTGCAATACACCATCCATCAACATATTGTTCAGTTTTTTTTGTTACTATAGGGCAAAAAAGAACACGATGGGACCTTGAAACCTGGACTCCTGCTTTGGAACAAGGATGGCAATCAGAGTCAAAAGGATAATTAGAATCTTAGATCAAATGGACCACTGATGACCACTGATTCCTAACATATATTCCAACTTTTAAGAGACCAGGAGGGTCACCTCTTTCTGAAAGGCCAGGGAAACTTACGTGTCTTGGGAACCATTCAAACCACGGAGTCATGAAGTCAAGTCTTTCTTTGCTTTGATATGCTTTGATACAACCTAGTAAGACTTGCACAAATCCAGTAGAAATAGATAGGATGTTCCCAATAGATAAGAAACGATTATCCACAACTTCCCTCTTTTCACCCAAATTCATCTCCCTTATATCCCCTAAAATGGGTCAATGATAGTCAATTGACTAGGGATCCTATCACTTTCGCGCCCGAAAGCCTTGGAGCCACACTCAACTCTCCCAAATCCCGATCTCTCCCGCCAACTAACCAACTAACCCAAACAACACCCCCCACTCTCCGCCGGGCTCTCGGAACCCTATATAGGAGCGCCACTCAACTCTCCCATCAACCCCTAAACCTCACCGCTCCGTTCCGCTCCATCTGGGCTCTCGGACTGGATCCACAGCATGGTGGTGGTCACGTCCCCGATGGGACTCCAAGCGCCCCCCGCGTTCGCGGCGATGACGCTCATGCCGCCACAAAGCTGTCGGTACTCCTCGGGCGAAGACGGCGGCGGCGAAGACGAAAAGAGGACGAACGAACGAACGAACTGCAGCTGGGTCGTTCGGGGGCAAGACACACACAAAAAGCCTCTTTTAACCTCTTTTGAGTGCAAGTGGCCATACAGTAAACACTCGTTTCTGAGATAAACCGATCAATTGTCTAACTCCAAGGTCCATTGGGAAGGAGAAGCAACAACGGGAAGTGAACGTGAAAGCTTTCAGGCTGCACAAGCCTTTTACCGCTGAATCCTGGAGGGTGAACCGGTTGAGAGGGCCTCGTCCACCGATCGGTTTGGAGGCATGAACGAAGATGCACCAAAGGCCTGGGATTCTTTTGGTGGTCTCAAATTTCCAACAATCGCAACAATGTGATCAACAAAAAAGAATAGCAATCATAATGTGTCCTTTCATCAGTTAATGTGCCATCGCCTCTATCACTATCTGGGTATCACCACACACACAATTCAATGCACTATCCTGGAAAGGTTCTTCTTGTTTCTTCTTTCTCTGGAGGAACTTGTCGCCCCTGAGCAGGACCCGGTCGCCTGCTCGCCTCCCTCCGATCACAAACGTATGTGCTCCTTGTCCGGAGCCAAGCGCCGCAAGATCTTGATGGCCACAATCGTGGAGGTGAGGTTGTCAATGATCTGGCAGTTCTTCTGAAATGACTCTGCTTCGACAGGCTCGTTTGGATATGTCGAAGAGATATCATGACCGTCTGACCGATCTTGCGGATCTTGACATAGCAACCGAAAAGCACCGCCTGTTCATGGTCCATGCCACACAAAACCAAAACTCCAGTGTTCTCTGAATTGTCACCCCTTTGGCTCCGCATAAATGAATCACTTGCCAGGTTCTTCGAAGTGACTTGAGGGCGCCGCTTGAAGTCACTTAGAATGTCAGTTGGAGGAGACCTAAGACATCTGCAAGGCTGGTTCCGGCAGAAATATTCCAAGCAAGCTGAACACGAATTTGATCAAAACACCACGGATTCGCTGGCGATTCGCTGGCGATCCGCGGAGAAAGAAATCTTGGCCGGTGGTGCTGAACTGAGGAAGAAAGTCAGGATGCAAATGATGGGCATCAGGCGCTCCTGATAAGAAAGAGCACAGCGCCAGTCGGTGTGATTCTTGGGTCGAGTAAGACTGGACCTATTGGGCAAAACATGGGCTTTGAAACATGATCATACAAGGAGGGAACAAAGTGGACTTCGTACGCCCAAACCAGGGCAGGTTCAACACATGCAACTAAACAACAAAAACACGCTGTTGCAACCCAATGGTGGCAGCCGGCTCAGTCACCGACCCGGGTGGCAAACCCGGCGATCTTCCAGACCCGCCAAGCCTCGCTGTTGAAACGATATGGACTGGTGGCGACTGTTTGGGTGGTAAGAGCTCTGAAAAAAGCCCGTATGCAAATCCCAATCGCCATCAAGTCCTTTTATACATCCTATAAAATAATAAATTGATCATGAATCACGGTAGCCCTTGGCCCCAGTCTTCACCCTGACCGGTGGGGCTGCCCTGAGCCTTTTCGTATCCCTCCTCCTGCTTGAATTCCACTACCTCTCTTGGCCAGGCAAATAAAGGATTCCCCGGGCCCTTTGCCAGTCCGGAGGCTTTCGGCGCCCTCGGCCGGTCCGCTACGCGAAGCTTGGTCGGTCCTTGCGTCCTTCGATGGCTCGGCGGATGGCCATATTCACCAGCGCGAAGCCGTCGAAGTGGTCGATGGATTCCACCACACCTCGGGGAGGTTGAGGGGTAGAAGATTGTCGGATGGTGCGTGGGCCAGGGGAGAACGATGTATTTTAAGTATATAGAGCAAATGGAGGAAACTGTGGGCCAAGCAATTCGTCTGCTTTGAAGGATAGATACAAGTTGTAATAGGTGAATTGCCGACTGGTGAGCTGTCGGTTCAAAAGGATACTCAGACTCTGTTCTTGAATGTTCTATATTATAGCTTCTGGAGCCACTATGACTATGACATCTTAAAGTACTGCCTGAATTTGTTCCTCTCAATGGTCAGCGAAAGTTACTTGTGTACGGATGTGTTAAGGACGAACAAAGCCATGCCCTGAGAAGCCCTGAGAAAAGCTTTTTCACACCAAACAAGGCGCAATTCCATGCCAATAAAACAACGGAAGTTCCCTGAGTACTGAGTACTCGCAGTACTGGTGATTGACAGACTGCAGATGGAGAAGATCCTGCGGACAGAGTCAAAGAAAGCACATTCTATCATATCACTGGTGCATGAAAAACACTTCTGCATATTGGTGCATCCTTCAGGTCTGAAGCCGCTGCACAATTTGGAAGCACTTCTCATGGTATCGAAGTGCCTCCTGCAGGTCTCCAGTCTGAGCGGTCACGTTGCCAATCTCATGCAACGTCACTGCAATTCCCGGGTGGTCAACATCACCATGCAAGGACTGCT